GATAATTTTGCTAATGCAGTTAAAGCGACCGCTCAAGACCGTTTGGTTCTTCTTCGTAAAATCATCTCTGAAGAAAAAGGAGAAGTATTTGCAAATGCCGAATTGTTACTGAAGATTGAACAAAGTCTTACTCAACAGAGTAATCAATATCACAATATTCTGTCTGGTTATTATGATAATCATTTGGCTATTGTGAGAATGATTCCTGGAATATTTCGTGATAAGAAACCAGTGAATAAATCTGAATGGGAAACGATCAGAGGTGAAGTTAAAGAAAGACAACTCCAAATAGAGAATGATTTATTCGCTCATACCAAACAAGTCAGCAACCTGCTTGCCGAAGAGCTTTCCAAAGTTAATAAAGTTAATAAAGAAGAAGTTGCTGAAATCACCCAAAAATATGTCGATCAAGTTAGACAACAAATTAAGAAAGACGTGGAGATACACACTGGAATTGATAGTCAGTTTATTCATTATTTCGATGACAAGCTTGAAATCATAATGGCATACAATAATTCTATTGCTCATTTCACTGGACTTATTGATCAAAATCTTGAAACCATTAGGAATTTGCATGAGGCTTGTGACCAGCTCCATGAGCAGGCTAGCTCGTCGACCGCTTCTTGTTCTGATTACCCTAAGGAAATCCAAGAATCTCTTGAAAAGGTTATGTTTCACGATAAAAGCATTAGGATTGAGAATTTCAAAACTGTCTTCACAATTTAGAAATCAAATTATTTCTTCCTTGATATCTTCCCTTACAGGGGGGCTTGTCGTATGGTACTTTTAAATACCAATGTAGTATTGGCTATCTCGCACCCATCTGGCTAACCCGACGCACTTATGGAAGGTGATATACAAGAAGTGCTTACAATACCACCACCAAATTTCAATATGAAAACTTTTACGATTGAAGCTGAGCGATATAATTGACCCATACGATGATTAAAAATTCACACTATCGATAGAAATGTAGGATTAATTAGTAATACGGCGCGCACACTACTTTTTGAATATTTGCAACCAACCAGACGAGCAGGGCTATTTCGGTACTTCGAGTTGGAGGTGCTTTACTTCATGCAATGTTCCCAGTTAAAGCGAGAATTTTTTATGCAAATGTCATAGGGTTGTGCAAAACTAAACTACGTAATCCTGATCACATTACAAGAGGTTACGCCGGAAGAAATCCATACCAAAGGTTTCAAATCAATTGTTACGAATGGAAGAACTGGGAAAGCAACAAAAGAAGAAGAAACGTTGAAGTAAACAACTGGAAACTGGAGTAAACAACTGGAAACTGGAGTAAACAACGAAAAATTGTGAAATTGTCCCGGGCATACGACTATTCATTCTAGAAGTGGGATAATTGGAAACAAAAATAATCGAAAGCAAGCGTACTTGGCGAATTTGACATGGACTGGCTGCCAATCTACTTCAGGATACGGGCGGAATAGAAGTATGGAAGAAGTAGAACATGAAATGTCAAATTCCGTTGGTGTAGCCTTTCGTAGGAAGTTCCGCTGTAACTCTAGAAAAGACTCCAAGAACTCCAGGCCTAGAAAAGACACCAAGGTAACTCCAGAGACAATAAGGTAGAAAAAACACCAAGTCCGACTAGCGCAGTTTCACCTCAACAAGTGATAGTAAGTAGTAATGTAAGTACTAATGTAAATAGTAATAGTAACTTATAAAAGTGAAGTAATAGCAGTAAAGTGAGTAACAGAAGGTGGCAGCGAGGATCACGTGCGCGTTAGAGCCGACGGTCGGGCTTCGCTTACCTAATAAACCCGAAAGCCCGAGCAGCCCCTCCGTGCATTAACCGCAAACAGACCCTTAATCTGCAAAAAAAAAGAAAAGAACAGAGAAAAATGAGGTTCGGGTCAAAATTATCCCTCATTCGTAGCCGAACCTCACTTTTTGGCAGGTTGCAATTTCTTCTCCCATAGATTTATATCCGAGACCGTTTGCTGGTGGGAGAAACCTCCGGGTGATGCACCGGAAGTAACCTTTGGTTTGTTGTTTTGATGGGATTCTCTCTTGACTAGACCTGCAACAATTGACCTATTGATAAAATAACGCAACTGTTAAGACGTTATGTAGCTTCAATGATATCGACACCAAGGTCATCTCGTATGATTGAATATGGTGGTTGTAGTAGGATCTAGAACTCTGGCCAGTTTGGGGCCTTTTTGCACGTTAGTTTGCTTATTGCAAATACTACATTAAAATTAATTTGATTTATTTTAGTTTTTTTAGCTTTTTATTTTATTATTTTTTTTTTTTTGCTTTTCTTTTTCTTTACCTTTAAGGATATATATATATAAATGGATCAGGACATCCCCAACGTTTAAGTCAAGGCAACATATTTAGATATAATGAACTTCGAAGAACATCATCATCACCATACCAAGAAAAAGAGGGTTGGTAAAGCTTGTGATTCGTGTCGAATTAAAAAAACCAAATGTAATGGTAATAAACCATGCTCCCGTTGTATATCAGATAATAAGATCTGTGTCTTCACTGAAAAACGTAAGAATAAAGAAAAACCCCATCCACCAGGATACGTTGAGTTATTAGAAACCCGATTAAATTTATTAACCAAATCTTTGGAAAAATTAATTTGGTTACTGAAGGATAATTTGCCATTTATTAATGATATAGTATTACAATATCAACAACAAAATCAACAATTATATAACCAGAGTGATTCCGATAGTTCTATATCATCCCCCAATGATGAAACGAATCAAGAATCGATTCCAATTAATGAAGTTATTAGTTATTTGATAAATGAAGAAAATTTATTGAAAAATTTACCAGTTGAATGGGAAAATGGAGCTATCATTGCTAGTAAATTAAGTATGGATAATCAAAAGAATATAAATTATTCAACAAGACAATTCGCTAATCATAAACAAAACTTGGCCGAAGAAAGTTTAACTAGTCCACCAACATCAACCAATTCAATAAATAATGATTCATTATCAGATGATTTAGAAGTTAAAAAATCAAATAGTTTATTTTTAAATAATTTTGATTCAAATTCAAATTCTTCAATGACTTCATTAACAAATAAAGTTGAAAATTATGATTTAGATAGTCCAATAACTTTAACTCCTACAAATTCAAATACTTTGAAAAGAACTGCTTCTACATCTCATACTAAATTTAAAAATAACGGCCATATACATAAACCAATTTCTCATTCAAGGTCTCATCTGATTTCTCATGATTCTTCTTTATTTAAAGATTCAACTACAAATTTTTATCAACCTCCTTTATTAAAATCCCAATCTTTTGAATCGGATTTATTATTATCAAATGATTCAAATACCCTAATTAATGGTGATTCAATTTTTCAAGATGATGATTTATTACCTTCAAATGCTTTTAAATTAGAAATTGATCATTTAAATGACTCTTCTAATGTCGATAATTTAATTAATAACCCTTTCTTAAATCAATAATTCTGTTTTGTCTTGTTTCTTTCACGTTGCTAATGTTATTTATTTAATTCTTATTTCTATTAATATATATTCTTTCCAACCGCTCGGCTCTTCGTTGGGCCGATGTACTTGCCATTTACCTACTCCCTTAATTACTTGCTCTTAAGCTTTCTTTTACCCACTACTCAGGCCATTATCCAGCCCTTTATTCAGGCCCTTTTCTCATCGCAGTTATCATTGTCTCGATTAACCATGGAAAGCCGGAAGTAGCTCTCTTAAAAATGTCTCAGACATGGTTATGGGGTTAAGCAGTGAAAAAATTCGAAAAAAAAAAAATTGGTCACATGACACGGACAGGACTTGAACCTGCAACCTTTGGATTTGGAGTCCAAAGCTCTACCAATTGAGCCACCGCATCGGCAATTCCGAGGGTGGATGCGCCTCGGTTTGTCCGGCCAACGTATAAAAAAAAAAACCAGGAAAAGAGAAAAAAATTACCAGATCCGACTTTTGCAACCAGTCAAAAAAAAGCCAAAATGTAATTGAGTTTCTCCTGCCTCCTGCTCAGACTGCAAGGTCCCGGGCCCATTTTCGGTCGGAGGATTCAATCATTGGGTTTCTCTGGTCAAAACCAACCGGAATTCCACTCATGGTGCCTAAAATGTAAATCATTATTCCCCTATCCAAACAACCAGTCAAGCATCTCAATAGGTACCACCTATTGCTTTACAAAACACTGGTACTTAGAAGCAGCAATTAGACATTTATCGGTTGCAAATTGCCCTTGTTTTTGCTCCAAGTGTATATATTAACAAGTTTCTCAAAGCTTGGTTCGTAATCTTTGTTTCAGACAATTCATTTCCTTTTTGTCTTATAAGTCTCTCGCACTCGAGTTCTTGCTCCGGAGTACATAAAGATTTGTATACTCTTTACCATATTGCTTTCTATTCGTCTTTGACAGGCACTGGTGTGTCGTTGTTTTGGAAGGTATACATTATAATAGATGAAATATCAAAACCTCGCCATTTAAACTAGCGTATGAGTAAAATGGATTAAAAGGAACCGAAAATGAGTGATTTCTAGGAGACATGCTTCTGTACGGTTACGTATTCTGATATAATATGGCTAAACAATAAACAATGCGCTAAGTTGACTGCTAATAACTGCTCGTTATGCAGCAACTAAATTTTGATCTTAAATTATGTAGCAACTAAAATTTGCTCCCAATAAACAAAATCATAAAGCTATGATGAATTATTACAACTAAACATATTACAATGATTCTTATCACCGAATAAACTCTTGCTATCCCAACCAATGTATATTCGAATTTGAAATTACCTCCTCGTGTAGTGAATAGTTAAACAAACAATTTTTCACACCAAAAGTTCCCGAATTTTCTCTCCCCTTCAAAATATCGCCCGCTTTTTAAGTTCATCTCATTCCGTTTAACTCATACAACCTCATCCCTCCATCCGGCACGGCATGAATCTTTTCACCGGGTCTATACGACAACCTTTCCAAGCCCCTCAGTAATCTCTTACATTTCCCATTTCAGCCTAGGCTTTTCCTTGTTTACTCTTTATTCTTAAATCAAAGCTAGTTCTAATGTGTAAAAAAAAACGTCCATTACAATGATCGAACTCGACTGAGAATGGCTGCGAATATCCCTTTTCAAAAAATAATTATTCTTTACGACCAACTGATTCTTTTTCTAATTAAAATCATTAAGCCAACCTTTCTAAACCTATTTATCTTTGCAATAACCATTCCTGCTAGCAACATGTAAACACATGAGTAAGAACAGAGGTTCTGGTGGTAAATAAAACCAATATTCTATATATTTAAGGTCGATTTATGTGCTAGTTTCAGCCCATTGTTTTTAAGCCACTTAATTATCTTTCTCGGATGTTTCTTAATTCTATTGCAGAAATATTAAAAGGCCAAGGTCAGATAAATTTGAGAAAATTCATTGAAAGTCGCTTTCATAGTAACCTCTTTGCAGGTTTGTATTTATCTTCGAATTGTTAAGCAAATAGATGAACGTATAACAGTGGAAAACCTAGTCTTCCAATTCGCCGGTATTGTTTTGCTTCGCTTATATGAGCTGACACCTTTACTCTTATGAAGATACGAATTTATTCTGGGAATAATTAAGTTCGGCAGCTAGTATACACAAGTTCAATGAGTTGCCTCTTCACAAGTGAAGAGCTTTAAATCTGCAAAAAAAGAGAGTCTACAGCACGATGGTTTCCATTATGGTCTCCCACTAACGTACTCAGCATCGCTCTCAGCAGCTTAATAATTATTGATCGGACGGGTAATCATGCTTTATGCTGGATATGGCCGTAGACATCTGTTGCAAATTTGAGATTTTTATGCAAACGTTTATTTCAAACAAAACAAAACTTGACTTTTTCTGGAGAACTTGATAAAAGCTTGAAAAAGACAAAATACGGCTCATTTTGGGTGTAAATCAGGATTCTCCTATCATCAATGCTCTTGTTTTTCGTTTCGCACAAGTCTTAATTTGCTATAACAGAGAAGTTTTAAATAGGGTACAATTTTATAACTTCTCTAATTTCTTAATTCAACCAGAGTCCTTTTAGGTTTGATCTAAACCATGAGCTCATGTCCAACGCTATATATTTCTTTCTCGATCTTGGAAGTAGTTAAATATTTATCAATTATTGTGAAATTTAAGTTCAAAAAAAGAAAAATAATATTTCTGAGCTCATTAAGTTCATTAAATCAGTTAAGTAAGCCATCACTTCTCTTACCATAAGCAGAAGTTAAGAAGATACTGAACTTTCAGTAAGGAAGTAGGTTAAGCTTCTGCAAATAATTGTCAAATAAAGATAGTTTTTGTATTTTTTTGCAAAAATCCAACAAAGTTAGTACATAATCTACGAACAACTCCCCAAGAATCCATAACATCATTTGTTTCTACACTTTTCTTCTAATTGATCAAACAGACATTACAAAAGTTAAAGAAATCGAAAGATTTATCTTGATACAAAAATCACTTTTTTTTGCATCCACAAACATAATGACTTCGAATCAACTCTCTTTGTCAGCAATGATTCACCCCGTCGGTCTCTTGAAGAAGCTTCTGAACAAAGTCAGCCAGTATATTAATAAACTAGTCCTTAATAAGTGGATTTGTTCAGCGAAAGAAGTTGATCCTGTAATCAAACAAACGAAAAATGGATATATCAGATCTGACTTCTACCCTAAACGAAACCACTCCATAACCACGCTATCAAACGACAACAGCACCCGAGCCTCTTCGACACCCGAATCCTTTCCTAAAGTCATCTTCTAGTATAGAGGCATATATAAGTGTATATAAATATAAGAATGAATTGATGCAAAATCCCATCACGTGCGTAGGCTTTTAACCAAAAAAAAAAAAAATGAAAAGTCTTACGAAGACTGAAAAATCTTCTTCATTAACATGAATAAAGTATTGAATAGAGGTCTAGCCACGAGTGGAAGACTATTAGCGAAGGCGGTGAAACAGGAGACCGCTAAGCCAATTTTGGGACGCCCCAGTAACAATTTAAGTCTGGGAGTAGTTGGATTAGCCAATGTCGGTAAAAGTACTTTTTTCCAAAGTATCACCAAGACCAATTTAGGTATAGCAGCCAACTACCCATTTGCTACAATTGATCCTAGCAAATCCTTAGTTACTGCCGAGTCTCCGGAATTGGAGAAACTAGCCGAATTATACGGGCTGAAGAAAAAGATACCTAGCAGTTTAACAATCTATGATATTGCAGGCTTAACTAGAAACGCTGCAAGTGGAGCCGGGTTAGGAAATAAGTTTTTAGCCGATATCAGAATGGTTGATGGGATATTCCATGTTGTGAGAGGATTTAAAAATGACGACATTGTTCATATAGAGGAAGGTGAAATTGACCCGGTGAGAGATTTAGTGATTGTTAACGACGAATTGATATTAAAAGATATCGAATTCGTAGAGTCTGCTCTTGAAAAAAGCGGCAAACACTCTTATAAACCAGGCTTCAGCGATGACGTTTCTCAAGTATTGAATAAAGTTCAGGATTTTTTATACGAAGGTAAGAAAATCAGTGTTGGAGACTGGTCTTCCAACGAGGTTGAAATTATTAACAAGTACAACTTTATCACTGCGAAGCCAACCGTCTACTTATTGAATGTCAGTGAGGCAGACTTTCTCAACCAAACCAACGAGTTCCATCTGTCTGTCCAAGAATGGATTGACCAAAATTGTCCTCAAGACCATTTACTAATGTTTCTGGCCCAATACGAGTCTAAAATCATTGAAGAAAACTTGGCCCTGGATAAAAGTGCCAACAACCTCATCATCAACACCATGAGAAAAGCCCTCAGACTCATCTCCTTCTACACCTGTGGCCCAAAAGAAGCCCATCAATGGACAGTGAGAGAAAACAGTCTTGCTCCCGATGCTGCTCAAGTCATTCACAATGACTTAAAAGATACCTTCATCAGTGCCCAAGCCTACAAGTACCAAGACTTGGTCCACGAACAGGCTCCGTTGAATGAAGCCTCACTCAAAAGTAAAGGGAAGCTCTACCGATACGGTAAAAACCAATCCATTGAAGATGGTGATGTCTTGGTTATCAAAGCTGCTGCTGCCAAAAAAAGATAAGGCCCATGCCTCTCTTTTAACCTTCACACGATCGCTAACCTGTATAATACTTTACTACTTTTGCCTTCCAGATACCCTCTTGTATATATTGCTATTTCATTTCAAGCATTATCTCTCTTATAATATTAAAAGGTTGTTCGAATCAACAATTTAAATATTTTGTTTGTTGTAATTGTAATTGTTTTTTTTTGTTTTGTTTATTTGGTTGGGTCTTCTTCTGGCAGTTTTTGCTTTGTCTCGATTTTTTTTTTCCGCTTTCTTCCAAGTTGAGTATTTAGGCATTTCGAACGTCATCATCAAGTTTCCTCCTTCTCCCCTCCTTTAGCAGTTGATTAATTTGACATTTGTATTTCTAGAAAATCCAGTTATACGAGGTTAGTGTATTGAAATAAGCTATTTTAGTTAGTATCTTCCTATTCACCTATCTGTTTGTTGAGTATTGTTGGGTTATTGTTAAGTCTTTCCTTTTTGTCGAAGTCTTATCTTGATAAGTTGATTCAGTATATTGATTTGATACGGTTTTATCTTTGATAAGCTTGTATTTCCTTCCATAGTCAGGTTTTGTCGTAAGTTTCTAACGTGTTTGTCGTTATTTTTTTACTGCTTTTGCTAGTTTACATGATTCAGTTGACGGTCAATCGAATTTATCCGTCTAGCTCAGTGTATTTCCCTAAGAAGATGTTACTGAGTGTTTATAATTATATATTCACTCGACTGCAATCATTAGAAGCTCCCAAGAATCAAATTAGGTCTTATTCAACTAATAATCCAAATCTTAATAAGGATGTAACTAATGGATTTCATCCACGTTTACAAACGATTTTCCAACAATTGGATTCAATTGCTCCAAGATTTGTATTGAATAAAGGTGATATAACAATTTTGAATAGTCCAAGTGATTTTTATAATACTTTAAAATCAAAGATTTTAAAAGCAAATCATCGTATCTTTTTAAGTTCTTTATATATTGGTAAAGCTCAACATGAACTAGTTCAATGTTTAGATGACGCTTTAACAGAAAAACAAGATTTAAAAGTTTATATATTAACCGATGCTTTAAGAGGCACAAGGGAAGCTCCCAATAATCCGTGTCTGGCAAGTTTATTAGTTCCCTTGGTGGAAAAATTCGGTAAACATCGTATTGATATTAGAATGTACCATACTCCTCATTTAAGTGGTTTCAAGAAAAATTGGACTCCTAAGAGAGTTAATGAATCGTGGGGGTTACAACATATGAAACTTTACGGTTTTGATGATGAAATTTTATTAACCGGGGCTAATTTATCAGAAGATTATTTCACTGATCGTCAAGATCGTTATTACATTTTCCGTAGTGAAAAATTAACTGATTATTATTTCAAAATTCATGAAGCTATTTCCTTATTATCTTATCAATTATTAACTTCAACAAAATCAAAATCAGGTTTCAGATTATCTTGGCCAACTTCAAATAAATCTTGTGAACCTGATATTAACTTACAAAGATTTATAAGTGATTCCTCTTTTCTTTTAGAACCTTTAGTTAAACAACATGAATTATCTCGTTTTGAACTGTTTGATGATACAAATGAATTTGATACCATTGTTTATCCAGTTTCTCAATTTACTCCTTTAATGTTACCAGAAAATGATTTATCAACAGAAAAACCTTCAATTCTTCGATTATTATCTTATTTGGATTCTCCTAAAATTAAATGGTGGTTCACCGCTGGTTATTTTAATATGTTACCTCAAATCCAAGAAAAATTAGTTAATGGTCATGCTGAAGGTACGGTGATTACTGCTAGTGCTCAAGCAAATTCTTTTTATAAATCTCCTGGTGTTTCTTATTATATTCCTGAAGCTTATCTTTTAATTGCTAAAAAATTCTTAGAAGATATTAAATTAAAAGGTAAGGAAAATTTAATTAAATTATACGAATGGAAAAATGGTATCGTTAATACTATTGGTGGTTGGTCTTATCATGCTAAAGGTTTATGGATTACTGTTCCTGAAGAAGAAGAACCTTCAATAACTGTTATTGGTTCTTCAAATTATACCAAACGTGCTTATTCTTTAGATTTAGAAAGTAATGCAGTTATAATCACTAAAGATGATTTTTTGAAAAAACAAATGAAATCAGAAATTAACAACTTAATGAAATATGCTCATCCTTTACAATTATCCGATTTTGAACCAAAATTAAAATTAAATCCTGCAATAACTCAAACCACAGCTAGTTTAATCGAAAATAATGGTAATTCAAATGAAACCAGAGATGATCAACCTCAAGTTAATGAAACTTTAGAAATTGATGAAAATAGAAGAATTAGTTATATTGTGCATGTTGCCGTAAAACTTTTTGGTGGTAAATTATAAAATTTTCGTGTTTTTCTTTTTGTTTTCTTTACTTTTAAAACTACTTATCTTCAATTCTGAAATGTTATCATTGATATTCTTGTCATTATTAGATTATATTACTTATGTATTTAACTAAACCACTTCTCCTTCTGGTTGATTTTGTAATAAAGTAGGCCGATTGAACTTATATATTTCTTCTTGATAAATGAAAGTAAAACTCATGATCAAATTTATCAATATACTTCCCCAAGTATCGATATTCACCGGCTCATTAAACCAATGTATTTTAGAATCCACACCGAACATAATAACCACTTTGACAATCAATTGAAAAACTATCAGCATCCCATAAAACCTAGAAAAATACTTGTAAGTCCCTGCTACAGAACTGTCGAACCAATTCATGAAAACCTGTGGTACTAGCTTTATCCAACCACAAATATTACCGAAAAACCAAATGAAATCAACACAATCCAATACTTTAAAAGAAAACCTTTCATTATTAATAACGCACCAGGTAATCCACCCTTCGATAACAAGTCCACTCACTACAAATACCTTGGGAATCGTGCTAATACCCTGATTAATATTCCTAGTTTTTTTATACTTGGGAAGATATAATTGAATCAACCCTTCGCTGATTACACCAAATAGTATTACTTCGGCAAGAACGACGAGCAATCCTGGTACCTCAAACTCCCCATAAGGATATCGTCTTCCAATTTGCTCTTTGACCTTGTTATTGCAAGAATACAACAAATTTGTTATATTACGACAAGCTAGCTGCAACCATGTTAAAAATACAAAATTATACGACAACCCATATATCGATCTTCGGTGCTTGTTATGACGGGGTATCCTAGCGTATAACTGTATCTGAAATAAAACAGCGATCAAATTCACTATTAGTACAACCCCCATAACAGAGTATAAAGAATAGTTGTAGTTGGTATTAAATGAAGGGACATACAGTCGTGTAAAGTGTCGCCTTTTTTTTTTTCGTTCTTTAAAACCATGGAGTGAGCCAATACATCACCATCATCGATACATCACTAAAGTTAGGAGAATCAAGTAAAATATGCTGTCTTCGAATATCGACGGGTACTGGGACATTGTGGTGACATCGTTCCAGGACATCTGCAATTCCAATGAATCCTTGACGTTTGATAATCTTTATGGGAAATTACTTCAGGATCCAAGCAACAAGATAGATAACAAAAGTGCCGACGAGTTGATACAGACGAAAGAGGAGATCCAAGACCACAAGTCGAATATAGAAACAGCGAAAAGGCTTGTTGGGACATCTCAGCAGAACTTGCAAACGTTGATATCGCTAATTGAAAAACGAAACGCTTCAGGATCAAAAGAAGTCTCTAGTAAATCGGCATTACAAGACGAGGAAGAAGAGGAGGAAGAGGATGAAAGACCGCTAGGCCGCAATGAAAGTGCAAGACGGGGTCTGGGTAAAAAGGGAGTCACTGCATCAACCACTAGATCATCATCCAAATCATCTGGTATGATTGGTAATGGTGCCAGTGGGAAACAAGGAGGTAAACTCAATAATAAATTGAAAAATACTAAGAAACTGGGAAGATCTTATTACACTTCCAAGTTTAATCCTCTGGAACCGATTCTCGTTGGATCAGAAGTGGCTTATAAGTTGAAAAACCGCCATTTTGAAGAATGGATTCAGTGTGAGGTCATGAGAGTTATTGGTGATGGTATCAAGTTTGAAATCAGAGATCCCGAACCAGATGAAAATAATAACCCTGGTCAAACTTTCAAAGCTAACTATAAAGAGATCTTATTAATACCAAAAATTGATGAAGTGCCTGACTTAGCAAGCTATTCTTACGGTACCAAAGTTCTCGCTCGTTATCCTGAAACTACTACATTCTACCCTGCAATTGTCGTTGGTGAACGTAAAGACCGTTCTGTTAGATTAAAATTCGACGGTGAAGAAGAAGTAAACAAAGAGACCGAAGTCGAAAGACGCTTGGTTCTACCATTCCCCGAGAAGTAATTCCTTTCTTGCCTTTTGTATATTAGTCAAGTATCTGTATATCTGTATAATAAAAGTTGTATATCTGTATAATAAAAGTTGTATATCTGTATAATAAAAGTTGTATATCTGTATAATAAAAGTTGTATATCTGTATAATAAAAGCAGTATTCATATTGAGATAGTGCACCGACCAATACGTATTCAACGAAAAAAAATCAAAAAAAAAAAAAAAAATAGCGCCGAATAATTCATCATCACCTTTTGAATACTTCTAGTAAACCTATTTGGAAGTTATTGAATCATTTATCGTTGGGATAGATAAAGACCTGTTTTTTAGTGATATCTTGATTTGTTTACGTGCCAAAAGATACTCTTGTTATCTTCATATTTGCTAATTTTTTCTTTGTTACTAACTTTTTTTTTTTTTCATATTTCCATTCTTTACTGAAAAACAGAACTATTCTACATTATGGATGATTTAGATATAGATGATTACTCAAGAGTATGTTAAATCCGGATTTTTGCAGTGGAGTAAAAGGAATTGAATCAGGAAAAATGTGAAGATTCCCTTTTATCGTTGACATCTAGCTTTTTGATTTACACTGGAAGGGTGGTGATGGTTTCTGATGCTTCGGTGACAGGATTACTTGAATCCCAACGGTTGTGAGGAAGTTGAGATGGTGCTTAAAGGGGTTTCTCGAATAATTCTTGCTTCTTCTTTTATTCCTCAAGCTTTTTTTTTTTTTTTAACAAAAAGTTCAGCTTTGGCTAATACAATTTCAATAGGACCGTTCCCGTTCTCCAGTGAGAGATAGATCTCGTTCACCTTCGGGATCAGCCCCTGCACAAAGGGATACCAATTCTGCATATTCCAGAAGAGACTATGGTTATTCTTCATCTAGAGGAAGATATGGTAATAGTCGTGAATCTTCTTATGATAGAAGAGGAACCAGCGGATATTCCAGAAAACATACTTCATCGCGAGGCGGAAGGGGTGACTATGGCTCAAGAAGAGGTGGATACGGAGGATCAGCTCCTAGTCGTTACAATAGCTCTTATTCAGAAGAATATCGTAGTAAAACAGAAAGAAATTATGATAACTCTATATTCATAGGAAATATTCCATTCACTTGTACATCAAAAGATGTTGAAGCCATATTCAAAGGAGATTTCAAAATAGTGAGGGCTGACATTGTTACTAATAGAGGGCAATCCCGTGGTATGGCAACTGTGGAATTTAGTAATAAGGACGATGTACGTGAAGCAATTGATAAATATGATCACTATGAATACGAAGGACGAGAAATATTTGTGAGACAAGATTATCCGCCACCAAATGAAAAAAAGAAGGACTATGTTTCATCATCATCATCATCATCATCATCATATACTCCAAATAACTCCAGAGATAGAAGAACAACAGGAGCACCACAATCTGGTGGTAGAGAAAGATCACAACAGCAACAACAACAATCCATACCAAAACCAGGAACCGAAATATTTGTTGGTAATTTACCATTTTCCATAAACTGGCAAGCTTTGAAAGATTTAATGCGTCGAGCCGGAGAAGTTGTTAGAGCTGACGTTAGAACTGACAACTGGGGTAAATCCCGTGGATTTGGTACAGTTGTATTTTCTACTGAAGAAGCTGCTGACAAGGCAGTCAAAGAATTTCAAGGATTCGAAATTGAAGGTAGAAAACTTGATACTCGTCCAGGTCGTACTTATGCAAATGCTGTTTCTAATAATAGAGATCGAGATCATTATGGTGGATCAGATTCAAACGGGTCTAAATTTTCTAGTTCCCGTGCTAGCTCTAAACCCGTAAGTAAAAATACTCCATTCACCGAAGGTGTTACTGGTGACGGTGAAATTTCAGCTACCATTTTTGCTTCTAATTTACCATTTGTTACTAGTGTTGATGATTTATATGATTTATTTGAAACAATCGGTAGAGTAACAAAGGCAGAAATTCAGTATACTCCAGCCGGTAAACCTTCTGGTAATGCCGTTGTTGAATTTGAATTAGAAGAATTGGCCGATTTAGCAATCAAAAATTTAGATAATTATAATTATGGTGGCAGAGATATTAAGATCGCTTATGCAAAAAAACCCACTACTAATAATGAACAATCGAATGACGCTGAAGATATCGAGATCGATGGTGAACCCTCAACCATCCAAGACGATTCTGCCAACTCAAAAGAAGAAACTGAGCCAGTAGATCCTACTCCCTCTGAAAATATCCCTACTGACGATATCCCTACTGAAGCTATTGCTACTGAAGATGCTGCTCAAGACGTCGCTCAAGACGTCGCTGACGATATCGCTGAATAGATATACCGGCCCTCCAGTACAATTCAGACCTTTACTCTTTCTTTTTTTTTCATTCTCTAAGTTTAATAAATAAAAGTTCATACTAATTTTTCCTCCTCTTTTTTTTTTTTTAGAAAAAAGGAACACAGCGCTAAAACAAAAAAAAAAGTAACTGACAAGTTAATACTTTACACAATCTGGTTTGAAACTAACAACTAGCTTGAACTTGTTTTAATTGATCATGTCAGCCAGAGTAGAGGCCCAAGTGACAGCACTGACCTCCTACGGAGAATCCGAAAATACCTACGAGTACTATTATTCATCGGCTAAAAAAATCAAGTCACATCATGTGGTAATTCTATTAATAATAGTTGGATTGGTGTTGCTATTCCACTTTAGACATAAGATTGCAGCCGCCCATGATAGGTACCGTACCAGAACAAGATTGAGATATAGCAGGTTAAGTGGAAGAGAAAGTAATGGGTTTGAAGATGATTTGGAAGAAGGATTATCAAGTAATAATTTTGACATTCAATCAAACATTGCTAGTAACGATACTAGAAAAGGATTGCTGGAAGAAGCCAAGCAAGAGATAAGAGTAATCATGAATGATCAAGGACTCTCCTTTGATGAAGCTAGATTATCTTATTTACAACAGAAGCTTGATAAGAATGGCATTGACAAGAATGGGATGCCTTTGGACCCTAAAACTGTTACCTTCAGTTAAACCAGTACACCAGTACACCAGTACACCCAATACAGGAAAACATTCTTAAAAGAAATCGGTTTTAACTTAAGTTAACCATTTCGGTTGGTGTTGGCTTGTTCTTCAAAATGACGTTATTATTTGATTCGTTTGATTCAACCCAGTATGTTCTATGATCTTACAATTATTATACTTATTTGCAAATCTACTACCTTGAAATCAAATTACTACTGTACGATTTTTTTTTACAGTCTTTAAATTGTAGATTGTATGTTATACCCCCTCCCTTCAATTTACTAACTGGCTCTTTAAATGGTGCACCCTAACATGTCAAGAGTTTGCAACGTACTTATAGTTATTAGCCATTTGAAATGGCTAATTTATTTTGTTTGTTGGAGTGCGTTTTATTTATTTATTTTTGTTTACCTTTTAGATGCATTTAGCCTCGATCAGCTTCGAGGATTCCAAGTATCTTAATGATTTGAGGAAAGATACTTTTGTTTTTAATTTAGGGACTTGATTGACCTTCTATTACCCTTTCGTTCATTATTACGTGAATGGGTACAATAACTCAGTCATTGAATGCTTCTTAAAACTAAAATCAAAACATAAATAAACCACACAAAACTCGCTGTCTGGATTTTGTTTATTATTCCTAGCATTATTTCAATATTCGTCAACACGATAAAGCATTGGTACATCAAATAATTTTTTTCAGTTTTTCCATCAAGGTCTCTTTATTGAAGTCCATCCTTCGCTTGACAACAATTCTTTTGTGACTGCATTCTACTTTACATATCAGTTATAATTTTTTTTTGTTGTTTCGTTCTGTTTTCTATTTTTCAAGATTCATCTTGTTAAGACTTTCATCTATTTATCACTGTTAATTGCTACTTCATTTTAAAACAGTCTTTTGTTTTATTCTTGTGGTATTTAAGTCGCTTTCGTCTAGGAGAAGGTTTTCCACAGTCGTTTTCTTCGTATACTTGGTGTTTTGGTTATCAACACTCGATTAACTTTTAACAGCCGGTCACCTCTCCTACCAACTATCGTCACTCGTTTTCAATTTCCAAGACCGTTGACTTGAATAATCAAAATCCACTCCCAGTGTTCACCATTCGAAACCATCATCTTTTAACAGTAATTATTTACACAAGTTTTTTCGTTCGTTTTCCATTTCCCAGCCTTTTCTTGTTTTTGTTTCCAACTGTTTCCATTGGTTTCACCTTTTCTTCTAACATAGTCACTCGTTCACTTAATATCTTTCACTTCTACATTTCCCGGTCTCATCTTTGAATTCTAGTCGATTAAATATCGTATTTCTTCAACCATGAGTATTTATCAAAGATACGCTTCAGGGGCTCACGATAGAGCTTTCTTCAATAATTCTAAAGCCTCTCATAGAATAATAAGTGATATACCTGCGGATTCAGCAAATGAATCAGCTACAGCTTCAGCTAATAATTATTCTCCATCTACCCATATAGCATATCCAAAGAACAGAATCAACAGTCATAATCATTCCTATACAGTTGATGATATCGATCCAATCGAAGGCATAGATAATCTGACCAAACCACATGCCGATGATAACAATAGTGATTATAATTCTAAAGATGATAAAGATAACGATGATGAACAAGAATCTGTTGGCTTTATTCAACTTAATCCTTTATCCGGACAATTTGATCCCCATAATGAGAGCATTTTTTCAATCTCTTCCAATTCAATAACAGAATGGTTATCTATTTTTCCTAATGCTGCATATTTCACCGGCTATGATGAAAGTCTTTTTGAACATATAGTAATTATTGTGTATGAAAATCTAAAAAGCGGAAAAATTAGTACATTATCAATAACAAAATTTGGAGTGGTGTCCTACGATAATTTAATTTTAGATTCAAGATCAAGGTTTTGGCCAAGTTGTGAAAATCTCTTGCCTGAACATCAAAAATCAAACGTTAGAAGGGCTCTAGCAATAACTAATTTGAAAAATTATAATAGATTATCAAACCATCCTGGTCAATTCGTTGTTAATAAACATTGGGACGAAACGACTGCCGGTTCAATTGCTAATAACATGAATTTATTGGTTGATAAAAAACCAGATGAATTAGGTGTCAAACTATTACAACTCGGTTTATTGCAACAACATACCATTCAATCAACTATACTTGATGTCATTTATGATAATTCTTCCTCCACAGCTAGTTCTAAAATTGTAGAGGAAAACAATAAACTTGTATTTTTATTGGGGGCTCAACTTGACCAATTATTTGATCCGTTACTTGAATATTCTCCAGAACATATGGATATTGTTTACATTCCTCCTTCCTCTGATGAGTTTGAACGTCCACAGTTCGAATCCAATACTTTAATTGATTCAATAGTGGGTGAAATAATCAATGTCCAAACAAATTATACCATGGGTCTTGTTAACTTATTACAAAATTTTATCATACCTTTGAGAGTTTTCGTACTTGCATCAACTCCTGGCTCAGGAATTACCAAGGTAAATCAAGTTTTTCCTCCAACTATAGATGAAATTACAAGAATTAACTGTATTCTACATGAAAATTTGGAAAAAACTTCAAAATTGGGTTACGTCGAAGTTTTTAAAGTTTTGGGAATGACTTTACCTTATTTTTATAAAGCCTTTATTAGACATGAAGCTAATTTGAAAAATTTTCAAAATCGATTGAATAAATTTGCTAAAAAAAATAGTAGAAGAATTTTTGAAAATAATGATATAAATAAAGGTGGATTTTCAATGAGTGAAATCGAATCAATTGTTTCCGGATCACTCTTAGAATTACCACGCTTGAAACTAATTTTAAGGAGATTATATGATACTGTTGCCATAGAGAAATCTAAATTGACGAATTTCGATGGTTCAATTGATGAAGATCCTGAAATGACGATAATTGAAAGTTATTATAAATCTGCAATTGAAACAATTGATGCATTTGGTTATGTTGAAGTCGATGAAGAATCAAAAGGTAATCATAACCGTATCTTTACTCCAACTGGGAAACTCCTTACAGAATTAGCATCCAATTGGCCTGCTGAATTACAATACGGCTGGTTGTCTCGTAAAGTTGTTGGTATATTTGAATTAGCCAATGTCAAAGAAGAAGTAGACGAATTTCATAATATTGATATTATGATTATCTTTTCAGATCATATTTTGTTCTTGAATATTGTTGATCACGATTATTATAACAATGTGAAATCAAGCAATAAGCCCTTCAAAAAATTATCACTTGCTGATGTTCTCATGCACTCTCTTGTTAATGAAAAGCCTTTGCCTTCCTTATCACAATTTCCATCAATGAAAGTTAAGTTTTGGTGTGGTATCAATGATGTTATTGCTAGCACTTACAAAAGCTATTCACCTAGAACTTCATCAGAAGAAGAATATATAAGATTCATGAACGTATCTAAAATTGGCTTTAGATCTACTAATTTGAACAATCGTACTTATACACAATATTATCAGGTTTTGAAACAAGATAATACAAATCCAGATAGTAATAAAATCATTGAATTAATTAACAAATCTAAAGTTTTACATAAAACTCAACCATTTCATTTATTCAAGTCCTATGATGCCAATTTACATATTTACTCGACTGCTCATGACAAGTCCACTTATGAAGAGGAAAAAAGCAAGTCACCGTTTGCTTTATTCCTTAATGAAACAATAAAGGATCCAGCTAAGTACTTTGAAGAAAATCCTCAAATTTACTTAGTCTTATGTGCTTCATTTATCAACGATTTTAAAATTGAAATTGTTGGGTTCAATAAAACTAATAATTTCACCATTCATGAGATTATCTTCTCGGAAGATCTTCTCAAATGCTTGAAAGAGATTTTAGCTAAAAACTATTTCTTTTTATTTACTTCTTACAATGCCATTACTGAAATCCTAACACAAGGTTATAAGAGTGACTTGTCGTATTATTCTAATATTTTTTCGAAGACCAACCAACAAAAACAGATGCAACAAAATAATGTTAAACAACTCGAAGAGCCAAGTAAAAAGAAAATTAAATCTTTACTTCCAGGAAACTCCGACGACTTAGTGCCGGAAGAACATTCAGTTAAAGAGACAAATACAAAACTGTCTCTCAAGCGTAAGAATACCAATAGAACGAGTCTTGAACCAACGAAAGCTCAAAAACCAAATGAAAAGAACGGGGCGTCTGCATTACCGAATAGAAGAAAATCGTTCATTATGAAGATCTTTGATTGTCTTAGAAAGCATGATTATAGTGACACTCAACATAAAGAGAAAGCTGAAACTCAACCATCGAAATTAAAAATATCTGAACCGAAATCGGTCGTCAGTGACTCCAAGGTTTTGAAAGAGTCTAACATGATTGATTTACCCAAGAAACAAAATATACTGAACAAAAGGCCTGTTTCTGATATTCCTCGTAATATCAGTAACACTCCTATTCCAAAAGGGGAGAAGAAAAGGTTTTCTCATATTTATATGCCTATTCCTGACTTGGAGAGATCAAATACTATCACTAGTAGTATTGACCAAATTGTCAAAGGATCGGATCAGAATGCCGCCTCTGGACCTTTGCGAGTGGAAGATAACTTTAAATTTCCAAACTCAAGTCAAAATAAAGTTCCCATTGATACGAAGTCTCAATTGAGTAATCAAGTAATTACCGAGGAGCCTATGAATAACAGCAGCCTGAGTATTTTCAATTCTTCCAATGTTAATAGAAAATTTCCATTACCATTCTCGAACAACTCAGATGATCCACTTGGACGCCAACCATCTATTTCAAAAACAACTCCGAAGCAATCGGTTGAAGCATTTCAGTCATTTGCTAATGATGGAACAAGATCAAGTAGTGTTTACAGCTCTGTTCATTCATCAAGAAAAGTTTCTCAGGAACAGCCCTACCCAGATGTTATAAGCCAACCACCCCCATTGCAAGTTGAGCAAAAATCACAATCAATGCTTTTGGATACTCAACAGCCTCAAACTTTCAGAGCAAACCAAGCTAATTCTTCTTATCCACAGCATCAGTTTCAGCATAGAAATATACCCACAAAGAAGGCATCATTAATTGACCACAGCAAACCAAGTCATACCCCAAATCAATGGTCTACTTCTGATAACAGTCAGAAAACCAGAGTTCCTTCAAATGATTCCCAAAAAAGAAAATCCATGACAGAAGAGAATGTTTTGGTTTTGGATACCATTCCATACAAGACAAGAACAAATATGTCGAGAGGATATGACAATATTGACGCTGAAGATTTTTATAGAGATGGTGAAACAAACTGGGTTACCATCTCTAGAGAAAATTCTTCTCTATTAGAAAATGAGGTAAGGGCATTAAAAGAAGTGACTCGTTTAGACTCATTTGAAGTTATAAATGTCAAAGAAGTACCAATTCCAAAACAAGCAACCTCTACCCCTATGACAGGTGGACTGGGTGCTTTGCCTTTCATTGATGATAATGACACTGCTTCGATTTATTACTCACCCTCTCAAGAACCTTCCCCGGAAAAATTTGATAATAGAAATATACTCAGTGACAGCATAACCTCACCATTTGGCTACAAGACTAATCAAGGAAAAGAGGAATCTGTCACTTCATTAACTTCCTCTCAATATATCCGCGAATTTGGAAATCAACTCGAATCTACGTTTTCTAAATATGGTAATTTAGGTAGCCCTTCTTTTGAGGTTGGTTTTGACCATGCATCTATGTCTGACAATGAAACTATCAAGATTGATTCCGAACCTACTTCGGAGTCTTCAGAAGAAAGCGATCCTGAAGTCAGTCCAATCATTATCAAGGGAGATTTTGATAGCCAATCTTACGATGCTCAATCGAAACTCGAGAACGAAGATCCTAGTATCAAACTGATAAGGGAGACTCGACCTACAAAGCCAGAATTAGCTCTCAATTTGTCTAGCTCCGAGGAAGAATATTTCTCGAGTGAAGACATTGCAAGAACTATAACTTTAATCCATAATAACTCTGCAAGCTTAATTAATAGCAGAGCCGAAACTACATCTGGTGCAAGCAAATCTACATCACCCAACACTTTTAATTCTTCTTCCAGTGACGCTACTATTATTAATGATTATATACAAGAAGCTACTAAGCAACCTTTACAAGAAAAATATGGGGCCAAGCTACTTCCTACAAATCAAAGATCATTTGACAACAGACGTAATCTGTATGAAGATAAGAAAATGGAGGCCCCTGGTTTTGCAATTCGTTATGATTCAGTTGCTTATCTTTCCGATATAATCAATGGAACTGTTAATTTTAACCTTAACGATGAAGAAGACAAGCCCAACTTCAACTGATTTTTCTTCCTCTTTTATTTTTTTGTTTTATTAAACCATTTCATCATACTTTTTCATGTATTATTTTACGCCGATGTTACTTTATCCAAATTTCGAGTATTTGAGAAAATGGCCGAATAAAATAAACACGGTTCATTTCATTCAATTTGACTTTATTTCATCATTTTCTATTCTTTACTATATTTCTTCATACCGGGAAGTTTGTATTATTATTTGGAATTCTACAGACTAATTAACTTGTTATATTTTGGTTTTAATAATTAAATAGTCAATATTTATAAATATATTAATAATTTTCATTCTATTCATTTGAAAATAGATTATTTTTTATGCATACTTAAGCTGATTCTTTCAAGATTTTAGCAACTTGTTCAGCAACAGCATCACCAACTTCCTTAGTAGAGCTAGAGCCACGTAAATCAGCAGTTCTGATTCCAGAATCTAAAACAACACTGACGGCTTTTTCTAAAGCTTCGGCTTCTTTAAGAGAATCTAAAGATAATCTTAACATCATAGCAACAGATAAAATAGTAGCCACAGGATTAACCTTATTTTCAGGTAAATCAGGGGCTGAACCATGGCAAGGTTCATACAAACCAAAAGCACTGTTGGTATCTGGTAAAGAAGCTAAGGAAGCAGAGGGTAAAAGACCTAAGGAACCTGGGATCACCGAGGCTTCATCGGAAATGATATCACCAAACATATTAGAGGTGATGATGATACCATTTAAATTGGTTGGATTCTTGACTAAGATCATAGCGGCAGAATCAATCAATTGATGATTATAGGTTAATTGAGGGAATTCTTCAGTTAAAACTTTATCGACAGTTTTTCTCCATAATCTAGAAGAAGCAAGAACGTTTGCTTTATCTAAAGACCAGATTGGCAATGGAGGGTTGTGTTGTAAAGCCATGAAAGCAGCCATTCTAGTTATTCTAGTCACTTCGGCGACTGAGTATTTTTCAGTATCCCAAGCACTTTCTTTATCCTTGGAGTCTTCTTGTTCTTCTCTTTCACCGAAGTATATACCACCAACTAATTCTCTAACAACGGTAAAATCAGTACCTTTAACAATTTCAGATTTCAAAGGGGATAATTCCAACAAAGAGTCTGAGGCAAAGTTACATGGTCTTAAATTAGCATATAAGTTTAATTCTTTTCTGATTTTCAATAAACCTTGTTCTGGTCTAACTGACCCAGTACCCCATTTTGGGCCACCAACAGCACCTAAAAGAACGGCATCCGATGATTTGGCAGCTGTCAAAGAGTCATCTGGTAAAGGACTACCAGTAGCGTCAATAGCAGCACCACCAATTAAGTGATTCTTGAAATCAAATTCAATATCTTGATGTGGAGTATTAGCTTCAATAGCTTTCAAAACTTTAACAGCTTCGTTAACGATTTCAGTACCAACATGATCCCCTGGTAAAAGGGTGATAGTTTTTGTGACTGAGGTCTTTGATTTTTTTAATTCTGGTTGGGACATTTTGGTTATTTTTCTTAAATCAAAATCAATCGAATTAGTAAGGAAATATAGAAAGGATTAAATACTTGAATCATTTGATTCCTAAAGCTGAAAAATTCCCAAAGTCTCCAAATGCGAGGACTTTTTTTTTGTCAACGGAACCGCATTCAATTTTTGTGCCGTTAAAGGACTTTCGATACCATTTCTGCCGTAATCGGAGAAACAAAAATACACCGCTATAGGCATGGGTTCTACGCTTTATCAACAACACAGAAATAGAATAAGATTGTCGATATAACATACTATATAAAAGGAATATACAAATTAGGAGCATAGAAAAAATAAATAGGTGAAAACGAGGGAGGTTAAGCGGATGACTCAATGGCCACTCCATTCGATAGAATCCAAATCAATACCATCTTGAACCATTTCCCATAATGGAGACATTTTTCTTAAGAATTCAACTCTTTCATTGATGGCTTGGATAACGTAGTCAACTTCGGCTTCGGTGGTGAATCTCCCAATACCAAATCTGATAGATGAATGAGCTAAGGCATCGTCAGCACCCAAAGCATGTAAGACATAGGAAGGTTCTAAAGAAGCAGAAGTACAAGCAGAACCGGAAGATAAAGCGATATCTTTCAAAGCCATTAAAAGTGATTCACCTTCAATGTAAGCAAAAGAAATATTAACACAGCCATCGTATTGTTTAGATGGATCACTGAGGACCCCGTTAAATTGAGTAGAAGGAATACTTAATAAACCAGCTTTTAATTTTTCTGCAAGTCTTGTGATGTGAGCTTGATCGTACTATAAAATTGTTAGTAAAAATGAATTTGTTGATGTGGTTAATACTAGTGTACTGGTTTGAATATTAATTTTCAGATCCTTGCATAAATATAAAATTTCGTCTTAGTATCGGAATATAAGAGATTTGAAAATCCAACACTCTCGAAACAATTATCCTCACGATAGATTCAAACGAACACACAGTAAAAGCTTAAAATAAAAATAAATACATACCTTCATATCTTCAGAAATAATTCTAGCGGCTTCACCAAAACCGGCCACTAAAGGAGGAGATAAAGTACCTGATCTTAAACCTCTTTCTTGACCACCACCGGTGATGATTGGGTCTAATCTGACTCTTGGACGTCTTCTGATGTAAGCAGCACCAATACCTTTAGGACCATAAATTTTATGGGAAGAAATAGATAATAAATCAATATTCATATCATTAACATCGATATCTATCTTACCATAAGCTTGAGCGGCATCAGTATGGAAGAAAACTTTATTCTCTCTACAAATTTTACCAATTTCTTTCAAAGGTTGAATAACCCCAATTTCGTTATTAACCGCCATGATTGAAACAAGACAGGTATCTTTACGGATGGCATTACGCAATTCATCCAAGTTGATTAAGCCTTCTTCATTAACCTTTAAGTAGGTAACGTCAAAGCCTTCGTCTTGCATATGTCTTGCAGAATCCAACACACATTTATGTTCAGTTTGAGTGGTGATGATATGTTTTTTTGTTTTTTTATAAAAACGGGGAACACCTTTAATTGCCATATTGTTAGTTTCTGTAGCACCAGAAGTGAAAATGATTTCTTTTGGATCAGCTTTAATAACATCAGCAACGTATTTTCTGGCTTTTTCAACTTCTTTTTCAGTTTCCCAACCATAAGCATGAGTCGAGGAATGTGGATTACCATAAAGACCAGTGAAAAATTCCAACATTTTATCCAAAACTCTGAAATCAGTTGGAGTGGTAGCTTGAACATCCAAATAGATTGGTCTTGTACCAAATTGGGATTCATCTCTATTAGCACTCTTCAAACTAATACTGGAACCCTCCGGTGGAGTTGCCACCGGTGGTTCAATTGGAGTACTTCTGTGAAGTTCTCCCGGGTTAGGAATGGTTGAATTGGTAGCTAAAGAGCTCGAACTAGCTTTATTGAAATGACGAACTGAAGTTTTGCACTGAACTGTGGCAGTAGCCAACCCCCGACGAGCGGAGATACAGCCCTTAGCTAGTTGTATTGATCTAGTATACATAATGCTTGAAAATGTACTCAACTAGGAATATACCAGAATGACCTAAATAGTTTCAAATCACCTGTAATCGATACTTCAATCAAAATTTATTCAATAATCAGCGTGATGGCAAACAAGTGAAAAATGAATAAAGAAAGCAAAAAAAACACTTAAATTTTATAAACCGGGAACCAAACTAAGCAAACTAACAGCAGTATCTGATTGCTTATTACCTTAGCTAACCTGGAATAATAATACCGAAGGATTCGGAACACGAAATTACTTACTAAAATATAAAGAAATCAAAAAAGAAGTGATTCGAATTGATGCCTTTTTTACGAACAGAGGGAAGAAAAAAAGGTTGACATTTATATTCGCACGGAAAGAGGAGTGCAAACTTACATAAGCATATTCATCGTATGTACGGAGGTGGACTCATTGATTAATAAGATTTGATGTTCGATTAATAAGATTCTATATAAAAGATGCAAAATCATGGGGAGAAGGCCATGTTACGGCTTAGAGTGGTATGGACTAGCTCATAGCATCCTAAGAAGATGGAACCACCGGCACTGATCCAGCAGGTTCTTGGGCCGATACCGTTCAAGAAGACTTTGTAGCCTTCGTCTTTGATCATGGTTTTAACTAGAGGTAAGATGCCAATACGGTCTTTATTCAACATGATTCTTGTTTTGATCACGTCCAAAGGGGTAGTCAGGGCTGCAGCAACACCCCCGGCAATAGAACCGCAGATGGCCCCTTTTAATAAGGATAATTGTTCGCCGTTTTCAAGGCTTGACCATTTTTTCTTCAACCATTCATAGAGAGGGAATTGAATGATGGTGAAGGGGATTTCTCTCATGATGGTGGTATTCCAACCACGATACAATCCTCGGATGGTACCTTCACCACTTGAGTTTTTCAATAAGTATAAGAAATTAGCCCAAGAAGAAGCTTTATTTCCAACACCTATATGACCAGCTTGGGTACGTTGTTTGATTACCTCTGCCGGGACTCTTACAAGACATGCAGCTATTTCACCACACAGGGCCAGAAACATATGACTGAAAGCAGGCAGACTGAACCAATCTTTAGTATAAACTTTCATTGAGTCGTAAGTGATGAAAAATAATGATGCCGATGGAGCTGATGCAACCACACATGATCCCAAACCTTTGTAAATTCCACTCCATCCACCGTTAGCGAAGAATCCACCTTTAGCCTGTAATCTAGTTTTAACGGTATCAATGGGGAAAAATGCCAAATCAGTAGAGGTACCAGCACAACCACCACTCTATATTCAGTTAGTACAATTGAACCGTCATCAGTAAACTGTTTTACATACAATCAACGATATTAGAAATGTCAGATTATCCATGTCCTCTATGTGTTTTATCTATTAAATTAGGATCTCTATAGAAAGAATAAATGCAATAATTATCTTTATGAGTGAAATAGTGCGAGTTCTCACCTTAGCCTCGACAAGATGATTCAATTAACAATGAGTCAAGATGATTCAAAAGACTTATCCACTGCGTTGAATTTTTTTTCAACTGAAAAATCGTAGGACTTTTGTCCGATCACCGGTTTACTTTTTCACTCGTTTTTTTAGTATAGACACTATAACCAATCTATCTTGGAGTAACCATGAATTTATTCTTCCCGACTCTTTTCTTACGGGCGAATTTCAAGATGACCGAGTCTGTTTTCTTCCCTGAAGGAATCAAGTGTTGAATGAAGGGTAAGAATTCGTCGTAGTCCCATTCTTTCACCACCTTGAATAGGTCTTTTGCTCGAGCACTGATATCCTTATCAGTCAAGACCGAAGGGTCTAAATACTGGATTTGATCTTTCAAAGGACGACAGTAGTAGCCTCTTAAATCTTTCAAGTCGATTGGGATGTTGTAGAAAGGAGGGAAAGAACTTTTCCAATTGATCAAGAGTTGTTTTGGTTGAATCGAAGTAGCACTAGCTGAGGAAAGTAAATTTTGAATACCAAACCATTTTGAGATTTCGAGGTTATTTAATTTGAACGAGGTTGGGCTATCGGGATTTTGAAAGCCAAACTTGTGGAGCATTGTGAGCACGATCTCTTTATTATAGGTATCATTTTGGTTTTGCATTAGAGAAACAATTTGGTTCAATTCAATGTTGAAAGAATCTTCAGTATATGAGATTTGATTACTTATGAGTATTGGAATCAACGTTTGCAAAACCTCCGTGGTGAACTGGGCCAGGAGTAACACTGCTTGGCCGTTGATTTCGCAACCTCTATTGGAATACCATTCGTTATAGAATTGATTTAAAGAGATTGGAGAATCATTGATTAATTTTGTCACCGATACCATTTGATTAGAAGGAACGTTTAACGGGGAGCCATTATACGAAGGTAGATTTGATATTTCAATATACCCCTGAGATTTCAGTAATTCATATTCAAAAGAACAATTGGTCAATCCTAATAATTTGTTATTGATTGCTTTATTTTTATCGCACGGAACTACGTGCTTTAGCTGATGGTTTAATTTATTAACATTCATGTTGTTGAGAACCAATACCGTATTAGAATGATTCATTTGTCTTAATTTCCAAGTTGAATCCTGAGTACACATTACCAATTCATTATTGGTATGGGTAGGGGCCTTGATGAGTAAGTCATTGTTGGGAGAGCTTCTCATATACTCAAGGATATCTGGAGGAAGCTGAACGAGCTTATAGGAGTAAGCCGGAGACTTGGATATCTGATGATAAGTATGATAAGACGACATTGAATAAGAAGATGAAGTATAGACGCGTCCAAATCAAAAAAAAAACAAAAAACAATTTTTCTATTGATGTCTACAGTGAGAGATGATAATATATTAATGTCTACAGTGAGGAATGATAATATATTAATGTCTACAGTGAGGAATGATAATATATTAATGTCTACAGTGAGAATACAAAGATAATATATTAATTAATATACATAGAGTTTAATTTTGTTCTTCGATGAATTTGTCGATATCGATTTCTTGTAATTGGGCATTGGCAGCCATACTGATTTTTCTTTTATGTTCTTCGGCGTATTGAATTCTATGTAATTTTGAAATAGCATTCCAACCAGATACTGGAGCTGATAAGTGGAATGGGTCTAACCAGTTATTCAAGGCTTTGAAATTCTCCCCTAAAGTGGCGATTTCGTGAATGATATCTTCGATACAGATTATTCCTAAATCGTCGCCGAATTTATCTTCAACCAATTGATTATTGTTTAATTTGATTGATTTTAATTTATCTTGTTCATTTGCTTCGTTTTCATCTATAATTGTAACACTAGCTCTTTTATTGAACAATTGACGAACGGAGTTTAAAGATGGAGTCCCGGCAACTATATAAGGACTGATCAACTTCAATAACGGTAAAAGAGCAGGAGTAACTTTAACGAAAACCCCAGTGTTTTGTTTTGTTAAACGTAATAATTCAAGTACGTTATTTGCCTTTTTAGGAATTCTTAAACCTTTGATATGGTTGGGGACTCTAATTATGAAAAGTAATTTTGGCTCAACTTCTTTTGAAGTTGAAATCTGTTCATTCTTCTGTTTTTCATGCTTTAATATCTTGGAAATTCTTTTATTCTCTAATTCATTCGACTTATTATTGGAAATTAAGGTCTCTGCCCTAATGAATTTGTTAGAGGCATTATGTTTTCTTTTACTGTCTCTGTCCAATCTTCGTTGCTGAGCTTGTTCTTGTTTCTCCAATCTTTTTCTGTCGTTGTTCTTTCTTTTACGAAGAAGAATCTCCGGGTTGGAATTAAGCACGGCCATGTCTAGTATCGTCAGGTTACAAGATGTGAAGAAGGTATAGATCGGTGATGCTCTTCTCTTGAAAAAAAAAAGACAGAAAAAAAAA